GTGTCATCAGCAAACGTGCTGAGGGAGCACTGATCCCACTGTCCATGTTGCCAGTACCAGCCCCCAAGGGACGCTGCTCGTCACTGGTCCCCACTCAGACATCAAGCCGTTGACCATGACTCTGAATGTGACCATCCAGCCAATTCCTGATCCGCCATGTGGTCCACCCGTCAAATCCATGCCTCTCCAATTTAGGATGTTGTGCAGGAGGGACAGTGTCAAAAGCTTCACACAAGTCCAGGTAGATGACATCGGTTGCTCTTCCCTTGTCCACCAAAGCTGTAACCCCATTGTAGGGGGCCACCAAATTTGTTCAGGCACTATTTGCCCTTAGTGAGGCCATGTTGCCTGTCACCAGTCACCTCTTGATTTTCCCTCTGCCCTAGCATATTTTCCAGGCGGATCTGCTCTGTGATCTTTCTGGGCACAGAGATGAGACTGACTGGCTTGTAGTTCCCCGGGTCTTCCTTTTTTTCCCTTCTTGAAAATGGGTGTTTTGTCTCCCCTTTTCCAGTTATTGGAAACTTCCCTGGGCTGCCACGACTTCTCAAAGATGGTGGATAGTGGCTTAGCCACTTGATCAGCCAGTTCCCTCAGGACCCGCGGGTGCATCTCATCAGGTCTCATGGACTTGTGTGCCTTCAGGTTCCTTAGGTGGTCTCGAACCTGATCTTTTCCTACCATGGGTGGTTTAAAACAAAACAACAAAAATATAAACAAAAAGAAAACCAAACAGTAGGAATGTTGGAGGTCTAGAGAAAAACTAGTAGGAGCGCGATTCCTGCCATTAATGGAGCTTGTTACGCATTTGCTGACAGCTCCCCATTACCTAGTCACTGGTGTTACCATTAGTAAATGGACTGTTCTTTTTTTGTATTAACATTTTTATTTATTTTAAAGTTATTTCTACTTTATAAGGTATCTTTAAACGACATACTTGGCTAAAATGTCATGGAATATCTTGCAGTAAGCATAGGGACTTGGGAAATCCTTCTGGCACTAACATATGTAATTCCTACTTTCTGGCTTCATGGCTTATTATATAATTCAGGCCATTATACAAAGAACATAACCTGAAACACATTTTTACTTTTTAAAACTTGGTATTTTTTTTTACAGTATATTACAAACGACTTTAGTTTGGAGCATGTTCCTGCTAGCACATGCTGCCTGCATACTTAATGTATGTCTATTACAAATGAGTTTATAATTGGATTTCTGCATGTAGTCCTTTGTAATTTCAGATAGGAGCATATTCTGGGGGGAATTTCAGTGCTGCTTTGAACTAAAATGTGTCATCGGAGCTTGAAAGCAAAGCAAAGCTAGATCTTGGTATGCTCGCAGAGGTGGTTCTAGGAAGTGGTACTGGTTGTTTTATACATTGTGCTGTGCTGAGTTAAGAGATAATGTTCAGGCATCACCTTGGGCAACATTTGTATTCCCTCGGCATTAGTCTGAAAAGAGGCAAAATCAGTTGTGGCTGCCTGTTGTGAGTTTCCGTAAATATAAATAAAGACTCGGTCCAAATTTTGGTCAGGGTCGTTACGTGCGGTGTAACTAGATTCCTCCTTCAGATTCAGCTGGATATAATGTTCTCTTGGATTCCATATTGCGAACAATAGAAAATATTATTTATGTATTGCTGAAACTTCATTTCTAAGTTCGTTGCATTTCAGGAATAGGTACAGTGATTCCTGCTTTTAATCCTTTGAAGGGATTGGCAAATGTTAGGATGAAAACCACCCTGTTTAAGATTTGCTGTTTGCTACTTGCTTCCCTGTCAAGAAACAGAAAATTAAAGTGTTTTCTTCTCTTCTAGAACGTGAAGATCATTCAAAGTCTGTAAAAACCACTCATTCAGTCTTCAAATCTGCACAGTTGTACCTTCATCATCCAACACCCATGTGTGAGAGCTACTTCCTGTCTAACAGCGAGCTGTCAGAAGACAGTTCTGGTGCTGCACGTGCTAGACCTTCCTCGAGTGCTGTCTCGCAGAATTGGAAGAAAACACATCGTCATCAACGTGTTTTCTCTGTTCGTCATAAAAAAGATGGTGAAAATGAATTTTTTCCACTTTCTGTGGAAGCAGATTACAGCAAGAATGAGGATCTAAATGTTAGTACCTCCTTGGGGCATGAAACGTCATGGAAGGAGCTACTTCAACGTGGCAGAGGAGAAGCAGAACAAAAGGCAGCTAGAAATTATCCTTTGCCAGGTAGCCAAACAACTCGCCTTAACGAGAATGTGGGGAAAGATCTCCCACCGAGACAGAGAACCCGCTCCGGTGGTAGCTTGGATGAACTCTGGGTAAAGTTTTTGGAGTGCCAGAAGAGACACCGGCACCGTGATTTTGGGAGTAACGGTGAGCTGTCCCTTGTTGAACGCCTCGATCGATTGGCCAGGGTCCTTCAGAATCCCATTAAGCATACACTAATACCAACAGAATCTGAGAAGAATGTTTCTGAAAAGAAAATAAGACTGCCAGAGAAGAGTGTGTCCGAAAGTACTTTAGAGCCTAACGCAATACGTGTTGAAGACAGACCACCTATCACCCATGATAAACACACCCTTGTCAAGCTTGGGAAAAATAGGTCAGGAGAGAAGATTATCTGCCACATGGACAGCGTTTTGGAGCACTGGCAGTACTTGGAAACTCCTAGCGACACTGTGTCGGAGGCAAGGCTTAGTGGAGATCATGGCACCACGATCAGTTCCACCACCTCAGAATCAGATGTGGTGACCCAAACAGAGATAGAAACTGCTACTCAGACCGAGGTGAGCAGTTCCATTTCCACCATTGACACTGCCAGGCTGATCAGGGCTTTTGGGCACGAAAGAGTGCAGGTGTCACCAAGACTCTCCCAGCTGTATTGTACCATCAACCACCAGAAGAGCCGCTGTGAAAAACGGGACAAGGGAAGTGGCAAAGCAGTGGGTATAGAATACGCAAAGCTTTCTTCTGAGAGACACAGGAAAAGGAAAGAGATCCAGGTATGTGGTCAGTTAGACCAAAAGAAAATGTTAACTAATCTTTCCAGGAACTTTTCAACTTGCTGTACCGTAGTAGAGTTCCTTTTTTTTTCGGAGAATCATTCGATATTTCCCAGAGGGTGTTGTTTACATGGTAGACTTTTGTCTTTGATCCAAGTAGCTCAAACAAGTCTCTCTGCCTTTCCAGGAATAAGGACAAGATCAAAATATCTCAAAACATCAATTGTGCTTTCTTTCCCTTTGTTCTTATTTGTCTTTTTTCTCTTCCATTGTCTTGGGAAGCAGGATCCTGCTGTTTCTGGTTTCTAGTTACCTGCAGGTTCTGTGCTTTAGCCATCCTTAAGGCGGTGGTAAGTTGAGGTTGTAGATTTTGGCTGCATATTGCTCCTTGAGTATCTCTGGGCAACGAAAAATACCATTTCATAAAAATTGGAATTATTCTTTGCATTTTCTTACTGTGTGTCTATTTAAAATCTTGGAATTACTTTGTCTTGCTGAGCGTTGGTTGTAAGCTTATTCAGTTTCTGTATTTGGCAGTTTTGGCCTATCACAAGACCAAGTCTTAGCCCTAAGGGTTCTAGGTGAAAAGTGTGGGGTAAAGCTGTTGACTTCATTTGAATTTGGCCATTGCTTTTTTGAGGAGAAATGAAAATTCATTTCCTGACAGGGGCGCTTGGCATGGATATGGTGTTTATAGTAAGAAATTACAGAGTTTTGCTGTTTTGTACTATACATCAATTCTGAAAAGTATAGGAACAAGTGAGAAATATTTCTTTCTTTTTTTTTTTGTATTACTAGAAGAAAGAGGTATTGTCATCATTACGAATAATTTCATTGAAATGAGTTAGGTTTTTGTTTTATAGAAACAACTCAAACTCAGTCTGAGTGTCAAGTAAGCTAATGAATGCGTGTCTGGGGGATAAACAGTCTTTTTCAAGACTAAATGGCTTTAAAAATGTTTTTATTAATATTTTTAATTATATTTATTTAAAGGTAAAATAAAATTGTCATAGCTTTGCAACATTAGGACCATTAATCAGAACACTGACCATCTGACAGTGAAATTAGGTTCCAATGTTTCTTGCATGGTTCTAGTACTCAGGAGATGATTTTATTCCATATTCCGTTCATAAGACTAATCTTTCGACGTCTGTTTGGACCTCAGAACCGACATCTAGTCTTTTGCCTGTGAAAATCATCCGTGAGGTAACTGATTGCAGCAATACTGCTGTGAGAATAAAGGCTCGCTGTTCCCGGTGCTTGGTGTTGCATTGAACCCATATGGCTTGAGACAGTAGTAGCTTTTATCTGCTGATGCAGTGTTCGTTTTAAAAATACATATAACGAGACATGTGACCCAGCTCAAATAAGGAGTGAGAGAAAACTGATGGCAAAACGGCGACCTTAGTTTAAAATCCAAATTTTGGTAATTTCTGTAGTGCTTGGCTGAACAGAAATCAGGATTTGATTATTTTTATTTATTTTTTTAGTTGCAAATATCTGTGGTTCAGAGACAGATATTTATTTATAGCAGGAGCCCTACTCCTAGAGAGACTGTACAAACCTTTCAGGCAAGTGCTGCATTTTGTAGCTCAGGGTTTGGGTTTTTTTTATGACAGCCTATTGTCAGCTCTGCTTCCAGAAAACTTGGTTACAGCTTTTTTTATTTATAGATGCTGAACCCATCCCAGAAGGTTTTTATCTATTCCAGTTTCTGTTATTTCTAAAGTGCTCTTCAAGCTGCCATCTGGTAGCAGGTACAAAGCTAAAGGTTGCGCTATTCAGCTGCTGAAGGGCTTTGAAAGCGCTGTGCTGATTATTCTAGTCCAAATAGGAATGTGCATGGCAATATTCTCATTGAATGGCTGCTGATATTTATTCCTGTGGGCTGATGTGCATGTGCATGTAAATGAGTTATCTTGGGTGTTTTTTCCTTACTTTATTCTCTCTTCCCTTTTGCTGAGCACATAACTCAGATTTGCTTCTGTTCTCTGAAAGAAGATACAGATCTACTACATCTGTCTAGTGCACTCTGCTAGAGCTGTAATAGTTTTATGAAACCAAAAAGCCACTTCTTGCCAGGACGCGTGAGAGTCAAAATTGCCTCCTTTTAACGTTGAAATGAAATTATGTTTAGCACTGGAGCGGTGATAGCAGAGGCGCAATAAAAAGGTAATAAAAAAGCCTCTGTTCATTTCTGTTGTGGGTAGTGTTATGAGTTACTAATAGGATACTAATTGGGAAAAAAAAAAAGAAATCTGTTTCATAATTAAAAATTAAATTCAGAGCAGTTGCAGGGATCAGTCTGTGCCGCACTGTTGGGTTTGAAGCCTGGGGAAGCGCTGTCAGTTAATTGCTGTTAATAAAGCACTAACCTTCTCTCTATTTTATATAACCAAAAAGCTTGTGGAGTAGATGCATTATGCTTAGAGTATATTCCTTCTCAAACATCTGTGAAGGTAGAACATGTCGTAAAATTTAAATTAATTTATTATAACAAAGTTCTGCTGCTTACATCCCTGCAGCGGGCACTTCTGTGCGAACAGTGAAGGTGTGAAACTAGTATTTTGCCTAAGCCGTGCTCTTACCATGTGTCTTCTGTTCCTTGTTTTTATTGAGATTAATTTTCTCCACCTGGAGAACTTTGTATAATGAGGATCACGGGGTGAGAGAACTTCCCGTGTTTCGAAAGGACTTTGCTTTTTCACGCCGATGGTGGAAAACTGGAGTTTGTTGTGAATTTACAAAGCGACACGTTAATCTTTCAAGGCAGTTTATCCCTCCAGCAAACCCAGCAACGTTTAAAGGCTTTTGGTTTGAGAGGGTAGGAATACAGGATTCAGTTTAGATGCTTGTTCTCCCTCTTTCCCCAGCAGAAGTACTTTACACTTTGTGGTCTGTCAGGAAAGCACAGCCAACAACTGAACTTGCCACGGCAAAGGTTTGTTTTAAGTCTGGCTTGACAGGCCACGTTGTCCCAGGAACTTTGGAGAATACTCAGCATCGTACAGAATCTGATCACAGGCAAGCTCTTGCCTGCAGAAATAATGTGCTTTTCTTACCATAATGGGATGCTGAAAGTGCATTTGTGCATGTGGCTGAAGTCAAGGCTGGCTGTTGTGTGGCATAGCAATAAGAGACACTGAGCGGCCTGTGACAGACATCTAAATAACAACAGAATCAAGGTACAACAAGTAAAGAGTGATGGCTATAACTTTTTTGTTGTTTAAACCCTGCTTTCTGTTCATTTTGGTTAGTATTTCAGGAATGTCTCTTCTCTTGCATGTTTTTTTTTTGTTTTCTAGAATGCAATCTCCCGTTCGTGGGATTCAGCTTCGGCAAGCAGCAGTTCTTGGGGGCCGAGCTCTGCTCTTAGTAACAAGCGACGGACACGGATGCTAAACAAAGGTATCCAAGCAGGTAAGTTGTTGAATTCCAGACTTGGCTTTTCTGTGTGTTTACTTCTGCCTTTCATCTCTTTGGAAACCATTCTGCAAAGTCTGTTGCATGTTCCTGGTGATGGGTATGTACCAGCAGCATTCTTCAAATTCACTTTGAATGCTTTTAGAGGAAGATGCTATATTCTGATTAAAATGAGCCATTTCATTGCCTTTCTTGGTCTGCTGTAGTAGCCAGTTTTTTCACTTACAAGTTTATTAACCTAAGCTTCTGATCCATTTCCATAGCAAAGGTGGACAAACTGTATTTTTAATATATTGTTTTCTCTGCAAGACATCTGTTACAGAATGTATTTTGTAGGCATGTGCTGTTTCAGAAGCAATGTTTCATATTCTTCTCGGTAATATTTTGGATGTTATAGTCTATTTAAAACATAAGCTGATCCTGTCCTGGTGCAGTTCGGCATTTGGGTTTCCCTGGTGGCAATTATCAGTTTCTTCATTGCTTTCATTTACACGCCAACTTCCCATCATCAGCTCGAGCAATGGCTTTGTTTTGTTCACCAGCCATATCAATTACTTATTTATGACTGCTGTTTCTTCATGTGCAAGTGGATTGAATCAGAAAAGTGTTTTCATGGCTTGTTTTCAAGATCGCTTTATGACTTTTGGAATGTTAGTCAGCATTCCACTGTGTATGTTTCTGTTAAATATTTGTGGTGGTGTTTCTGTGAAATGCTTGTAGTGCTGTGGGCAAACGCCAACCTTCTATAGCTAAAACGTAGCTTTGGGTAAACTAATAGGTCCAGAAAAACCTGCACTTCCATTGTCCAAGAGGTAAAGCTGTATGTTGACCTGCCGTTGCATCTTTCATCAGCAGATTTGAAGTTGACCCTTCTGAGAGTGGACTTGGGTCCCCAGCCAGGGGCATAGTTGGGTCAAGGTCTCTCTGTCTGTCTCTCTCTGTCTGTCTCTCTCTGTCTGTCTCTCTCTGCTTCTTTTGCTTGGGGTACTTGGTTTACACCACTTTAATTGTACTCAGATTATCATATAGTCACAATCCTGAGTCACTGTAAACTCTCCTTGAATTGGCAGTGGGACTATAAAAGGTTTTGCTTTTTCAGGGTGGGGTAAAGAAAGTGATCCTTCAGCTTCAAAGTAAAAACTGAGTCATCCCCTAGGCTATGCATGTCACACGTGCTGATGCTGAAGTACTTCCAGCTGCTCTGGAATAAGGTGTTATTCATTTTCAACTACAGGAGACTTGGAGATTGTGAGCAGTGCAACTAAGAAAAACACTCGAGATGTTGGTGTGACTTTTCCTACCCCAAGAGCCAGCCAGCCAAATCAACGGCCGCAGGAACCCTGGCGTTGTGCTGAAGGTATTTTGGGAGAGTCAGATGGTATGGTCACAGATCATCAGGCAGCAGGAAGCAAGGGTAAGCAGAAGGGACAGCCAGGCAATTTTTTCGTGGAGAAAAGGACAAAAAGGAGCAGGCTGCGTTTGCCACAAGGTCAGTCCAAAAGACACTTTCTCTGCAGACCAGAAAAGCTGTGCATCTCAACAGCAACCAGCAAAGTCGATGAGGAGGATTAGCTGGGACACAGAGTAGTCAGGCACTAGTACAGGCAGCCTCTTACTCAGGTTTTAATCAATGATTTTTAAACAAAACCATTATGTTAGAAGGTTCTGTTAAGCTCTTAGTAACTGGTCACTGTAAGTTGTACTTTGTTTCATATACTGAGCCTTCAAAGAACAGGTATTTTTTCAGGAGTGCTTGAGAGAAGATTGTGGTACCAGAAGAATTAGACTCATCTCCCTCGTTTAGCTAGAGTCGCATTTTGGGGCTGATGGTGTAGCCTCCTGACTTTTAAATTTCCTGTCAGTCTTCACAGTGTCATGATTAAATGTTTAAAAATATTTTCCTTAGTCATTGTTGTTGTTGTAGGGACAAATCATTCTCTCTCACCCTGGTTTAATGTAGGAAATTTCGAATATCTGCTCAGAGTACTAGCTGATGTATTCAAATCCCATTATGTATGTAAACTGTGAGTAATCTAATTCTCATGTACATATTTAACATTTGGAAGATTTAAAGCATTTGATCTTCAAAACTATCTCTAAAAAACCATAGGGCTTAGGACGGCACAGAGGCTCCTTAAAAATGTGTAATTGCCGATAAATAACTGTTCTTTCCGTAAAGAGAGAAACTTGCAAACTAAGCCGTTTTGTGCTTTTTTCGAAAGTGTCGCTTGATAAAGACCTGCTGGCTTTCTGACACTTGGCAGAGGAATTCTTTTGCAACTGCCAAAGGTGTCTGCTACAGAGTCCTACTGTTGTTAAACTGAAGTGAGTGTTTATCGCAGTGTTAGGCCCCGGGTGGTATTTAGCTGAGACCTTGGGCATGAAGGGCCTTAGGTGGGGATGGAAAATAGGAGCGTGTCTTGTCTACAAATCTTTGTTCTCTTCTGTGGTCTTTTAACAGGGATTTCATGGTTTGTCCAAGCAGAAGACCTGAAATCTGAGTCTAGGAAAGAAAACCATTCCAAGGCCTTTTCTGGTCCTGGTCCGTCTTGGTTTGAACCACTAACCAGCGCAAAGCCTTGGAGAGAGCCTCTCCGAGAGAAGAACTGGCAAGAGCAGCAGCACAGCAACACGGTTCAGCCAGCAGTTCCAGACAGGGGTGCTGAGAACAGGCCCTCACGGCCGCTCGTGAAGCTTACGCTACAGGTAAAGGCACGCTGGGGTCTCTGTAGGATTTCGGGAGTTATGTGTCTTGTGGAAACACATTTTGTTCCTTTTTTCTTTCTTGTTATTTCACCTTGAAGTCAACATGTTACAGACTGCTCCTGCTTGATTAAAAAAAGGCAAACGACAAAACCTCCCCCAAAAAACCCAAACCAAAACCCCAAGAAAATCAATTAATTTGTCAGTCCTGTTTGGTTGGGGTGATCTGGCTTTCCGCAGCATGCTAATATATTTAAATTGACCTAATATTTTGGGACTGAAATCATTTGGCTTCCAGAACTAGGGGGAATACAGCTGACATAATGTCAAGTCATACTTGCTTCCATCCGTCTGCTCACCTGCTCAGGGTCTGCCTTGTGGTGGAAATTGAAGTGTGGCAAAACACAGGTATTAGGAGATCGCTTTCAAAATTCCCCTTCTGATCCAAAACGAGATGCTAATGTTGATGTGCCCACTGATTTGTGGTGGGGGAGACTGTAATGGGCTCAACGTTGTGACCTTTGCTGTGCTTTTTTGAGAAGAGATTTGTGTCCCTTTTGCTAATTATTTTAGCTTTTTTTTTTTCCCTCTAGACAGTTAGTTTGTGTTTGTTGACAAATAACTTGTTAAACAGTCTCTGAGGATCTACCCAGCATTGAGGAGACAATTATTTGTACATTATACTGAATACAACTTTGCTGGAATTTTTTTTTTTTTCCCATGCTTTGATAATGGTGTTAGATATTTTGATGATTCCCTTCCAGCTGTAGGGAGACAGTCTGGCTGCTTCAGGCTTTGTTTTCTGTCATCCCATCTTAGGAGGCTCTAGCAGTGCATCGCCCTGACTTCATCTCCCGCTCTGGAGAGCGTGTGAAGCACCTGAAGCTTGTCATGGAGGAAAGGAGGATACAGAGCGTGCTGCAGTCCGAACGAGAAGAGCTGTTTAATCCTCCAGAGAAGAGAAAGGGCTACAGGAATGCAAGTGACATGCTGCCCGACAGAGGTACCTTCACCATTCTGCTCTTTGTGTTCTGTAGGAATTAATGAATTGCCATGTTACGCTTAAGGGTGTGGGTATTTTCAATAAAAATATTACAATTACTTAACATTATTGTCTATAAGAATCCATAACTTAGAAAGGAGTCATATTGTTGCAGTCGTATTCTTTGTGAGAAGGAAACTTGTTCACCATTCTCATATCTCAAAATTTTCCATTTAGGTTTTCTGATTAGAGAGAAGAGAAGAACAATTCCAAAGAGTGAAATGGTTCAAAGATCTAAACGGTAAGGTTCAGGAAATTTTATTTCAGGTAGGCAAGTGACCTGAGTAGGAAAGATGGAGGAATTGTATCTGCAGTCAAAGAACTGGGTGCTGGGGCTAACTCTGCTTTTTCAGTGCAAGACGTAGGCACCTTATCAGAGGGAGAAAGCACCTATTTAGAAAACCTGAGAAACAAGATAATTTGTAAAAAATTATTTCTGTCCGCCATCCAAGCACTATGGCAAGCTGTGCAAGTACTGGATCCCGAAAAGAGAGGAGATGTAGGGTGTGGGCCACTGGAGCATCTATTCATTAACCAACTAGGTGACTGGTGCAGAAAGCGAGGTACCATTTCACCAAATGACAGTAGCTTTATGTAAGAAATAACTGCCCTCAAAGGAGTGCGGAGGCTTTTACCCTTGAAGAAGACCACCTTATGATAGATTTTGCCTTATTTTTGGCTCAAGTAATTCAGATACAAAGTGCAGAGCACACTAACAACGTACTAATCATTTGAAATACCTATGCTACAGAGAGAGCATGTGAAGGTATAGTAAAAAATGGATTTTATTGCAGCTAGGTTCTGAAAGGGTAGCGTGGACAAGAGGAGGTGGTTGGGAAGAATACCAGCTGAGAAACAGCATAAAAGTCAATTTTTTGACTCATTAAGTCATCTCTGGTAACTTGTAAAGTTACATAAAGATACAGTGATACTGGAAGTTATTGAGAGTCAAAACAAAGGTCAAGAGTGTCCCTGGAGGCAAGGGATACTCAGGAATCTGGGGTTTCTGCACACAGGCAAGTGCTTTGTTGCTTTGAAGTCTTGGAATGTACATGCTACATGCAGGGGAGGGTTTGTGCTACCTGAAAGGGACAATGCTGTGGCCTAGGGCCGTTTCACAGCATCTCCATCAGTGGTAGCAATGGGAAGGAGTGCACCTCAACAGGTTTGGGGGTGATGCTGAACTGGGCGGACCAGCCAATATGCCGGAGGGCAGGTCTGCAGTTTCTAGAGCTCTGTGCAAGCTGGAGGAAAGGGCCAAGAGGAATCTCGTGAAGTTCAACAGTGACAAATACCAAGTCTGGCCCTGGGACACAAATCCCCCCCTGGCAGGGACACCCATTGTGACAGTGTCAGAGGACAGACTGCTTCTGGAGCAGCCCTTCTGGGAAGGGCCTTGGGGGCCTGACAGCAGCTTGAACGGAGCCAGCGGTGCGCTCTTGCAGGGATGAAGGCCAGCTACACGCTGCGCTTCATGCAGGTGGAGGGAAGTGGATATTCCCTCTCTTGGCACTCCCGGGACCACAGCTGGATCCTGTCTCCTGTTCTGGGCTGCCAGGCCCAGAGAGAGGTCAGCAAAGTGGCCTGAGCCCGGTGGAGGCCACCAAGACTGGGCTGGAGCACATGGTGCGGGAGGAGAAGCTGTGGAGTTTGGGTTTGTCTGGCCTGGGGAGGAGGAGGCCGAAGGTGAGGCTCAGGCAGGGGTGCTTCCCTGCCAGAAGGAGGGTTTCGAGAAGGCAGAGGAGGAGTCTTCTTGGAGGTCCGTGGTGACAGGACAAGCAGCAGTGGTGATGTGTTACGGTAAGGAGAAATTCTGCCTGGAGAGAGGGAAATGAGTTTTTCAGGAGGAGGGTGGTGAAGTGACGGAGCGAGGTGGTGGAGCCTGTGTCCTTGGAAATGGTCACAGGTTGAGAGGATGAGGCCTGAGCGACTTGATCTATCCTTGAAGTTAGCCCTGCTTCGAGCAGGAGGTTGGACTAGGTGACCTCCAGAGGTCCCTTCCAACCTCAGTTACACTGGGATTCTACAAAATATCTACTGGAATATGCAATATAGAAGATAAACCCCTTGATATATATGCTGGGAGAGTCCAAGAAGGTGGTTTTCTTTTAATAGCCTTTGGCATTTAAAAGTATTTTTAGGGTGTTAATAGAGAGGTGGCAGAAGTGGTAAATATGGTAAATATGCCAGTTCCCCCAGGAACGCATCTCCATGTGTTTTAGCTGAAGTAGAAGATTTGGGTTTGGGTCACTTGATCTCTGAGATCGATGTATCTGAACTCGTGTATTTTCAGAAACTGATTTCATGATAACCCGAGTCGGCAGGACTTCTGTGGAGACTGATTCAGGAAATCACACTTGGTGACTTTTTTTTTTGTTCTTGCTGCTGTCATACTCCAGCTCTCAGCTGGAGCTGAGAAGTAATTTATTCTGTACCATTCTTTTGAATTCCACACCTATAATGAGTGCAGAAGCTTTTTCTTTTTCTCTGTGAGGGTATAAATGGAATTTCTCATGGCAAATTAGCTAGAGGTAATGAAAACAATTTTCAATGAATTTACCTATAATTCTGCATTGCCCACTTCTTGCTTTAAACATCCTTATGATGGAACGATTCGTCAGGGGTAAATCCTGATCTTTTCATTGAGGGAGCCCTAGAATGGCAAAAGCCTTTAGAGAATGGTGAGACGGTGCGAAAGCAAACCCCAAATCTTGGAGGTATCCCTGCCCCCAGCCGGCAACGCTTGCATAGAGCTTCCAGCAAAGCATAAGAGGAGTAAAATAAACATCAAAAAATGTGATTGATTTCCTCTTTTCTGTAGCAGTAATGTGGGTAGTGACATTTTTAGGAAAGATCATCTCCTAAGAGCAGCTGCACAGAGTAGGAAAACAGCGAGGCACGGGAAGGTAGCTCACTAGAGGGAGTGCAGTTGATTTTTTTTTTCCTTTTCTTCAGCTTTTTTGGTGTTGGATGTGTATTTGCTTGCTCATCAGTTCCACTGTGAAGTCTGATGGGCAGGTAAACACATTGGGAGGGAGGGTGTAGAAGCTACAAAGTGCGCGGCGCTCTCTGGCTGGTGCTGGTGAACTAGACAAGAGATAAAATTCGATACCAGCTGAGATTTGGATTTGATCTTTGCTTTCTTGGTTCTGCCTACGTAGCTATGTGTTATTGTGCAGCTTCCTACTACTTTGTTTTCCAGTTAACTTCTCATCCTTCTCTCCTTGGAGACACACAAGTGGCACCAAACCTGTACTGACTAAACAGCAAATGGGTGCAAACTGACACACATTTGCCTCCCTCACTTCCCTTGCCCGTCTGAAGTAGGACTTACTTTCCTGCTGGGATTAGTACCAAGGCAACTGTCAAAGATGCCCCACCTGGCTGGTGGGCTTCAAAATGGAGCGTGGTGAAGCGCCTTCAGACGATAGGAGTCGAAGGCGTAGATGTATCTACAAAATATTTGAAGTGCCAACAGTAATTATGCAAAGATACGTTGATTTAAGAATGGAACAGTCTCTAAAAGAGTATAATGCACTATTTTATCTGTACAAGTCTTTTTTTTTTTCTATTTGCTGATTATCAAATCGGCGTGTTAAGAAAGGAGTTCTGGTAAGATCTGTCTTCCTTTAGAGGACTGAAATTTTGGGACGTCGTTCATTTCTGTGAACCGCAATGTTTTCGGAGCTGCGTGCTTCTCGGCAACCACTGTCATGAAATTAATAAAGCTTTGTGATCTCAGAGGAAGATTTGGGGAGGGCAGTGTGCTGCCATGCCAGCTCTCAGGTCCCTCCTTTGATGGCAGCATGTAAAACAGGCTAGAACAGCACGCTGACTGTGCTGAGCCCCAGCACCTCCTGGTCAGCTGCTGTTTGGCTCTGGTATGGCAGAAGCTCAGCACTGGAGAAGACAAAGCAGTCACCTGAATGGCAACAGTGCTGAATGTTGAAAGTACTGAAGTATTGAAAAGATGCCTAAACCACTTAAATCAGGTTATTCTTGCGATGAAGAGCATTGCTATTGATGGATGAACATGTTCCTCGGAGTCCCCTCCCAGCAATGGGGCTGTTCTGCACTGAAGACATTGACACTCTCCCTTTTGCAGCTGAGTGATCATATCAGCTGTATGGTCATTTTAATGGTCTAAATATTGCTTTTAGGAGGGTGCTGCTTGTAAGAGAAAAGCATTATGGGATGTGGGAATTTCCAGTATCACAACTGCTGTGCGTTCCGCATTTTCTCTGGGTGACACTAGTAAACCCCCAAATAAATGTTTCTCTGACGTGGTGGGCCTTTAGCAGAATGTGAAGATAAAATGGGGGATGGTTTTTTGTATCAATAATTTCCTGCTTTCCAAGTCTCTGGTTTTGATTTTTTTGTATTTACACTTAAGGATCTATGAGCAGCTGCCAGAGGTGCAGAAGAAGCGAGAGGAAGAGAAGAGAAAATTGGAATATAACTCCTACCGCCTGAAAGCACAGCTTTACAAAACAGTAGGTGTTCTGGTCAAGTATTTATTCTGGAATATTTTAGAATTATTTTTTTTCCCTTGAGGTCATAAGCTGTATAGTAATATTTACTAAACGTTAATTCTGTCGTGTTATTTTGCAACTTCTAGGTGGTTAGGCTAGATTAGCATTTAATCAGGATCCAAGCAGTCAAGCGTAGCAAAACGTGGCGTAAAAAATCCCCCTCCTTAACCTGAAATGCTTCCAGGACCCACACACGGCATATGGAAAAAAGACAAGGAAGCACAGCCCTGATTCAAGCGTACAAAAAGGGTCTCCTGCAGTGTTGAGGGCAGATCAGAGGGATCATGGAGCGTATTGAAAGAAGGACCACGCTTCCTTGAACTGAAGGCTGCCGGTTTTGCTCTCGCGTGCCCTTGCTGTAGATGGATTTAGCTTACACAGTTCGCAGCTAACTTCACAACCAGCGTTAACAAAAGCTGGAGTCATCACTACGAATCTTGCTTCCGTGGAAAATTTGCGGTCCTGGCAGTAATTTGACTTCAGTGGATTTCACTACTAAGTGTTTGTTCAGCTGATAGCGTGGTCTTACCGCCCTGGCACTGCTCAGCCGAGGATCTCCTCTGTCTGGCAAGCTGTAGAATAAACCAATATCCCTAAGCGTGGGTACAGCTAACTTTGCACCACAAGCACTTATCCAGCAGTTCAAGACCAGTTTCTGTGCTGGGGCCTCACCCCGCCACCAGCAGCAGAGCAAAGGTGGGGTGAGGACTCCAGGATTTTGGTGGGCAGGAGAAGGAAACAGCAGGGCCCGTTTCGCTGGGACTCTGCTGAATCCTGCCTCGTTCTGCCGTGACGCAGTGAGTTCCCAGCTAACAACTGCTGCTAATGCTCTTCCTCCCTGGCTGTCCGAGCTGTGTAACATGTGCTTTGTGTCTGTTAATTAACAGGTTTAATTAATGACAGACAGATTGAAGAACCCTATGCTAGAGACTCACCCGGGTTAAGCACGGTAATAAGGGAGAGAGTCTTCTGTCCCTGTGCCCTCCCGTGCACACACATCTGATTATCTCATATTTCTGTGTAACAAGGAGTATCAGTTTATACACAGCAATGTGATAAATGCCCTGATTAAAACAGCGGAGGACCGTTTGTCCCCTCCAAGAAGTGCATCTCCAAAACTGGCCGGTGTATCACTCTTGGAGCTGTTCTAGGCATCCATATCCTTAAGCCTTCACTTAAGACTTAATAAGAACTAAAAGATGAGAAACAACAGTTTGCAACAAACACTCAGGTTCTAACCTGACTTGCCTTCTTGCTCTTTACCTGACCCCTGTACCAGAAAATGTGGCCTTCTGGAAAATCTGGCAGCGGGCAATAAACTGCCTTGTAAGCCTCAGTGGTTTAAGGATATGCATTAAAAATTAAAAATGTGTTGGTTTTTTTTTTTTTTCCTTTGGATCTTGAGCTTGCAGTTCAGTTTTACCATTGCAACTCTTTCCTGGCTGACTTCTCCTAACAGAGCTGACGTGATAGGGTTGGTTCTTTGTTGGGAACAGCAGTAATTGGATCTTAAAAGTCAGGGCTTGTAACACAATGTATTATCCAGAATACCTTCCTAATCTGATTGTGGGTATTTACCACTGGAATTACTTGAATTTGCTGCTGTGCTTTTGCAGGGTATATTCAGGATGTATTTTTTTCCCTAGTCTGAGAATCTCAGGTGGGAGTTCAGTGAGCTCTTAAGAGTTAAGGAACGCTGGCAGTTGTTGACTTGAAGTAGCGTAGTCAGCTGGAAGCAGAGAGGGAATTGGATCAGAAGTTTTGTATACAAGTGTGATTTTGATTGGAAGAGGGATGATGATTCATTGCAGTAAATACTGTACCCTTTTTGTCTTCCTTGATAGTGCAGAATAGCTGTGGTGAGTAGCTGTAAGTACAGTGAATGGTTTGTTTAGAAATTTGGTTAATGTGTTGCTGAGAGCATCAGTTTCTGAGCAGAGCTGATTGTGCATGAAAAAAACCCCACATGTTTTGTGGAACGACTCCAAAGATGATACGGAGTATTAGGAGGAGAAAACGGCTGATGCAAAAGCTGTACTAAAGCTGTCTGTACTCTCGGGTTGTTCCATTTAAATGTTCTGTAGCACCCTACCCAGGTTTATTGCATCTCAGCCATGATGTACTGGGGCTCTTGGACACCAGTTGCTTCTCTTTCCGTCACTGGTACTGAAGGAGTAGACATGTAAAGTAAAATGAGGCGTACGCAGCAGTACAGCTGGCTCTGAGGGTGGGATTAGGTAGCAGAAAGCGCGTAAGCCATTTCTGCAGGGCGTTGGGGGCTCACAGGTTAGGGGTGATGGACATTTGGGAATTATGTACCCACCCATCTGTACGTGCGTGAACGTGGACAAGTGTGGTTTGCTGAACTACCCTCACACCAGAATGTAAAGGTGTGTTAGGTATAACTGCAGAGGGATGTGATTTGTGGGCTGGTGTTTCAGAAGAAAAATGAACACCATCGTGAGGAGAAACCAAACAAAATGGTATGTTTCCAGTGTGAGCCACCACAGCTACTCTGTGGGACATACTGCTCTCTGGAGGCAGCGTGTCTCATCATCATTAGCTGCAGGGAACCAAGAATAATGCTCTTAGTGACCAGGTTGAGGGATGAGATGAAATGGAGTTAATTTGTCTCAAAATAAGGCCTCAAATTAGTGAATATATACAAACAAAATTTGCTTACCTGTTGTAAAGTACAAGTGGAAATACTCTCGCAGGACGCCTGAGAAGTAAGGGCTGTCCGTGCTTGTTTCAAGGCTTTTATGTGCAGCGGTGGCGTGTGGGGCAGGGCAGTGGGCAGTGGAGAGAATGAAATAACAGTTTTGGTAGCACTGAGTGAGGACGAGGTCCTCGGGGCGGGGGGGGCACAGTATGGGCTCATGTGTAACGGGGCACTTCTCAAAATTCCTGTGCGAGGAAGTGAGTGGGGGTTGCACAGGCATTCTTAATTTTTCAAATTGTTGGATACTTACCTTTATTAAGGTAGCAAAGTTGTTTTTATCACAGGATGCACATGGGTCCGGGCTCATGTTCTGTCCCTGTATCCCTTTGCTTTTGTACTTTTAATTTCAAATAGAGCATAAAATTATACCAGTCAGATAAGGTGCCCTTTAGTTTTGAAATCTGTATAGTTGAGACGGATTTCTGATCTGAGGGCAGCATAAACCAGAACTCCTCTTCCAACCCCAGTGAAATCAAAATGAATTTTACGAGTTTATCAGATACAAACTCATTCCATTGCTGAAGCTTTTGCGTTAGATGTAGTCATTTTTGTAAACAGGGAGCAGGGGAGAAACCTCCTTAAAGAGGAAAGCAAAGTTAATTAATTTATGTGCTTCCCCCTACCCCTTAAAAAGGAAAAAAGCAGTCAGGAACACTAAACGCTGTTTCATTTACGGCTGGGACGTGTCCTTTAGAGCCTATGCAAGGTCGGGGCCACAAGGTGTCACTACCCCAAAGGAAAAAGCACATGCTTCTAGAGGTGTGAGACTGAACTGCGCGTTGCTTGCTGCTTTAAAGTGTTATTTTTCTTTAAAGTTTGTTTTTCATCCCCTTGGCTACATGTTCCCTCCTGTCAGCAACACCTTAGGGTTTTTTTGGCTTGCAGTCACTTCCTGGAAGTGGAGCAAAGAGGGGAGAGAGCACCTAATCGCTAGCTTTGCTGCTTGGATTGCAAACAGGGCCTGTGAGCCGCGAGGACTGATCAGAGGGTTTGTGGTGTGAGGTGCTTTGAGCCCTCCTGAGGCTTTGAGAAGTGTTGGGGACAGATTCCACACTGCGATTCACGTCGGCAGCTCACAGACACAGGTATGTGTGTAAGCAGAGCGTGTTCTGCACCGGTATATACACTACATACAGTGTGTGTGTGTGCTGTGCACACACACTGCATACGTGTGTGTGTGTATATGAAGAGCTGAGCTGCGTGGTGCGTTCATTTGTGTAATGGCAGCATCATTCCCGCTGCTGTTAGCAACATATGAGTTACCCAAAAGCTCTTCCTTTATCCTGCACTTCTCCAAAGCCACGCAATATATAGTCCGTGCTCCAAAACGTCCCTGATCTGCCGGCTGAGGCAGCGGAATGATGTGGGGTTTCGTTACCTGGGTTGCCCCTCGCCGTAGGAAGGGGTCACACTAGCGGGTGCCTTGGGAAGAACCCCTTAACAGAGCCAGCGTTCGCAGGGCTGCTCAAAGATGCTCCAGCAGTCGGTGTGGTTTGTGTCCAAGGGGCTTTGAATCCATCCTAGGGGGGTTTTTTTCTTTCATGAATTTGTCTGCTTGCCTTGTGAAGTGTAAACGTCTGGGGTTCGCAGCACCGCAGGGCAGAGTCTCGCCGTTTACTGTGATTCTTCACACAAAGCGTGCTGTGTTTTGGTTTAATCTGTTACCAGTTACTGTCTATGGTGCCTCCCCAGTTGTTTCTGGTTTTATTTCAGAACAGTCGGCAAAAAGCATTCCCTTTTCACCTGCTTCAGGCGGCTCAGGGTTGTGTAGACTCTTGTCTCTTCCCCGTCAGTCATGGCTCATCCCTCCCACTGCAGTGAAGAGTCCTAATTTATTCAGTTGTTTTTTTGTAGAAAACACTTTCTGTGTCTTTTGCTATCTTCAACCTTAGAGTTTTTAATTTTTAGAGGAATACTACTCATCTCTGCCGCTTCGTTTTTTATCTTTCAGAAAATCACCAACCGTGTCTTGGGGAGGAAGGTGCCGTGGAACTGATGAAGATCTGCTGTTCAAACGGAGGTGTGTGGCGCGTCGTAAGCTTGCAGCGTGAAGGAGATGGTGATGCGAAGAAGATAATGCAGTAAATGCTCGTGCAGTGAATGGTTTGTGGTATTCACTTGTGTTGTTTTTGTACTAATACAATCTTGCTGTATTTTTAAGGTATTTAAGGATCAACGAGTCGATGTGAATGACTGTTTTTTAAATAAATGGCTGGGTTTGGTAGTGGTACTACCGAAG